ATCACCGAATTTGTGAGCTGAATTGAATAAAATTCAGAAATCTAATAGCCTGTTAGCTTAAATAATTGTGTTTTACAAGAATATCGAGTTATCAAGTATAATATTACACAAATTTGTCCTACGCTTTACTAAATATAAAGTATTAACAAATAGCAATCTTAAAGAATGATCTAACCAAAACAATATAGTCAAATTTCAATATGTTGAATAACATTAAAATAATTATGTATTTAAAAAATTCATTTTCAATAAATATAGAAGATCTATTTGAGCTTTTTTTTCAAAATTCTTTTTACATGTTGATTTATCTCCTACAAGAAAAATATCTGGTCCTTAACTGTCAGATCTGTTATCAAATATACTGATTTTTAAAATTACTCAAAATAATTGTACTATATTTTTTTTAATATTGCTGTCATGATTTATTATGTGGCAATAATCATTTTAAAAACAATCTTACTTTTGAAGACTTTCAAAAAGTGAGTGTTTTTTTTATGTTGTGCGATGTGTTGCACAGTTATTAAAGTTAATTATTGCGGCTTTATTAACTACTTGTTCTACGTGATTTTAATCTACAAACCATAATTGAATCATGATATATTTAGAATAAATACGTATAAGGTTGTTAAAAAACGTTCTGCGACAAAAATGCAGCATCCCTGGATGAAAGATTTTGTTTACAGCATTAACGAATATAAACCCGAAGTTCAGTTTTATCCTAAGTTATTTAGAGCTTATTGATGAAAGTGTAAACTACGAGCACCAAAGCACAACAGGACATAAGGAAAATTCTTAAAAGTCGAAATTTTCGCGAGTGTTGCAATTTTTTTTACCAACCAAATAAAATCGCATGGTCTGTAAATGTATGAACGGTTACCTGTTAAATTTAACAGACCCCGCATGATTATTTTAATGAATAATAAAAACTAAAATTATTGATTTTGAAATACTACATTGAGAAAGAAATATGGACAAAAAATCTAGAATATGGTTAAATTTACAGTGCATCTGACTCTATGGGAACAGAAAAAAAGCTCCACAATTTTAAGCAAAGCGCTTTGGTAATGATTTTAAATAAATAAACCATAATATATAGTGTTATAAAGTGAGATAAAATTTGGAAAAAGCGGGAAAATTAGGTAATTTTATCGCGATTCCTTTGGGCATGGCATAAAAACTATTTATTGGGTGAAACTTAATTTTCAACTTCGTATTTTTTACTGAATGCCATATAATAAGAGCTATAATTTCGAGAAACAGAAATTGCAGCGAACCTTTACTATATAAAGTGAAAAATCATCAAATGAATGGTTTATAAATAATGTATATTTGGGTTTTATTACCAGATTTATGTTCTTTTTCTTCTTTTTTTTTACTAGAAATCCCATTATCATACAGTGTGGTATATATATATATATA